TATATGTTTATTGGTTAATTTGTCTTTGTAATTTGATAATAAAATATCATAATAAAGAAAAGTATTACTTATAAAGGGAACGACCTTTCGGCCCAAATAGGAAAGTTAGAAGAAACATCAACCTCTAAATAGCAACTACCCAAAAAATAGAGTAGAATCTAAATCCCCAAAAATCTGCTAATAATCATATGCAGCAAATCACCTTACAAAATTAAAATATTATGAAAAAAGTTCAATAATTGAATTGAAGAAAACAAAGAAACAGATTCTAACTCACAATTTCAACCACTGTCACTGCTGCAAACACAAGGAAAAGAACACCTCCAACGTATGCAATCACCTATACAAAATAATATCAACTTTTATTATTAATATTATTCTGTTATTAATAATTATGTAGTATATGATGGAAATGTTATGAATTATTTTCAATAATTGATGTAACCTTTTCAGATAAGAAACTTCCCAGTAATGACCCTCCAAGAACAGCCAGCTACAAGAATTGGTTTCATTATATACCAAATAATTCATAGTCTTCAGTTTAATAATAATAATAATAATAATAATAATAATAATAATAATAAAATTTTGAATGTAAATTAATAAATTACCAAAGTTGCGAGTCCATGACCAGCTAGGGCCCCACCAATGACTCCAAGAGGTGAGGAGGCAGCAGCAAGAGCTGAACAAACACAATGTTTTAATATAATTCAAGGATAACAAAAAATGTTTTCTTTTTATGTTTTTAAGGTCAATTACTTACCAATTGTAGAGAAGAATGATTTATCACCCCATTCAGCTACAAACACTAAAATAAAAGTGCTAATGATTGTGCTAGCTGCAGCCAGAATCCCAGCACCATTTCCCAAAACTTCAGATACAGCTATCTCAGCCTGTAATAATGTTTAATAGCTTTATAATTTTTTTTTATAATAAGTCTTTTATGCGTAAAGTGACTAAAAATTTACCTCCTTCTGTTCTTCTTCAGCTTTAAGCCCATCACCAGAAGAAGCATCAAGCAACGTTGAAACACCAAAATAAACCTATATAATCCATTAAATTAATCTCATGAACATATAATTATATTTTTGATTTCACACATATTACCAGAAGCAATGCTGCAGCAATATCATCAAGAGGAAGGTCCATGTCACCGAATCTGGCATTCAAGATAATATATTAATTAAGATGAAAGAATCAAATGGATTTAATTAGCATCAATTAAAGAGGAATGAAACCTGAAGGGAAGGATTTCATCTACATAGTGAAAAGTTCGCCCAAGAACAACGGATATGATAGTCATTATCCTGATAATAATTCATAATAAACAAAATACATATATATTATATTGTCACGTGAATAATTTGAAATACAGCTTACTATATATATATATATATATATATATATATATATATATATATATATATATATATATATATATATA